CCCTGAGGGAAATAATGCTATTCAGCACGTAAATATTACATTGTACATAGTTTATGGTATTCAGAGTACATTTTAAAGCTTTTCTGGATGAGAACAGTTGCCTCTCGTGACTAAAATCAACACAAATGTAAACAGTAATTTTGCAGAGATGAAGCCATCTGGAGAGTTGGGGGACTTTTTAGCAGGATTCCTATAAGCAAACCCTTTCACATTCCACATTCTATTGCTCATATTAAATAATATTGATTCCGGCTGTTGTAACTAATCTCTGTTTATGGAGGTTATAATGTTCAGTTTTAGTTGGTCCTATTTTAAAGTGGTATTGATTCAACTTCCAGTGTCCAACAATTTTCATCAAAGAAGACAATCATCAGTATAATTCAACATGACTGTGGTGTCCCTGCTTAGGCATCCTTCAGATGACAGTGACATAAATCAAATGTGCTATTCACCATAATGAGAAAGGAGGTTATGATACATTACAATATACGTGATGTGATACATTATGACACAGTAAAAAAGGTAACTTCAGGATTAACATGTTTCATGAATACTGTCATCAATAACACGATCACTATGTTCAGTTTTAAGCTCTGTATGAGACAGACAAAAGTATCCGAGACCAGTCATTTATTGATAAAGTCAAGTCGTGCTCTTGCCTTTGTGAGCTGGCAAGCAAGCATGCCAGCAGGCACAATACACACTTGTAAAGAGAAAAAAGGAAAAATAAAAAGGCTTAACCTCTGTAGGGCTGGACAGCCTGAAGGAATTGTCCAAAATGAACTCCATCTTGGACAACAACTTCCAAGATGATGTAGAGCACTTGTAGCCTCTGGGTCGCCTCCTCAAGGAGCACTCGAAGCACTCATTTGTGCCAATGGCATGTGTGTTACTCCCTGCTATAAGAGCCTTGATAAAATGAAAAGGTGCTGACAGCCGGTTCTCCAAATGTTTTTTTGTTTTTGTCTTCTGGATAATCTACAACTGCCATCTAAATGTGGCAGCCTGCTCTAAGATTGTTTGTACTTTCATACATTTATGAATACATTGTATTGACATTTTCACATTATTAATTTGAAGTTGAACTTGTATCTATCTATCTGTCTGTGGTTGTCAGAGTGGCTTTTTGCAGTAGATTCCTCTGCTTTGTATCAGAGCTGAATTCTTAAGTGTCATCGTCATGATGAAATACTAAAATGTGGCCTGTTCCTGTGCCCAATCACCCACCACGGTCAGAGGTCTATTATCATGTCAGGCACAGCTTCTCTGGAGGGGGGGGGGGGGTTCAGACAGCTTTACATGCACCCCTCTGTCACTTTGAATACCCATCTCTCTCGCTTTCTCTCTCTCTCTCCCTTTCTCTCTCTCACTCTCTCTGCCTCCGTCTCTGTCTCTCCTGAGCTTTCAGTGAAGAGGCACCAGGCGATGATGGGTTTCTCAGATGGAATTAAAATGTCTCGTCCTGCAGCTGTCACCCATGCAAATTGCATTGTCTACAGATCATATCACTGAGAACAGCCAGCCGTCTGTTTTGTTTGACGCTTTCCTCCTTTTCATTTTCTGTCATACTGTCCTTATCTGTGGCACTGCTGCTTCTCTCGCTAATGTTTCAGACAGTCATCTTTTAATCTCTCTTGCTCTCTCTCTCTCTCTGTCTTTATTTTGCTACAGGTTTACCGCCACTCCTACATGGCCTCCTACAGCATCTACAATATTCACACACGGTACGTGTTTGTGTCTCATTCAGGAGGTTTTGTGAGAAACCCTGTGTGGTTGAAACACCTGCTGTCAGTGGAAGAATAACTGTGATCTGCCCACTTTTGCAAATCTGTACAACGGAGCTACCTTTAGTGAAAACTAAGTGCTACCAACAGTGAGTTCCATGTTGTTACATGCATGAAGGGAAATCCAGGTGTTTCTCAATTCAACTGCCTTGTTCCAAATGTTAACCCACAGCTGGACTCAAGCTGCTGCCTTAACAGGGCCTCACATTCAGGGACCCCAGGCTGACTAGATTTTAAAACAGTCTTAAAATTTTGAATGAATTTGTGGAAAATTGCGAGTGTTGAAAAAGTAATTTCCAATTTTAAAGCCCATTTAAACAAAGCTTGAGCTGATCGAAGAGCTCCACACAAACGAAAGGAAAATTTTAATTAATCATATTAAATAAATAAAAAAATATACAAGTAAAAACACTTAAAGAAACATGCCAACAACCAACCAGCGGCAAATACAGAATCAGTGTAGAAATGGATCATGTCTACATTTGAACAGAAACTGGTTCAACAACTGTGATGCAGCAACTGCAAAAGCTCTGTCACTTTTGATCTTTTTCTTGTGACTATGGAGCATACAAGAAAGATGCGATGTCAGAGACCCTCGAGCTGAGAGCCAGTGACTGAGGTCTGGTAATTAAGACTCTTAAAATCAATTAGTAAGGTCTTTAATGGGATTCTCAGGTGAATATAGGGAGCCAATGGAGGGAGGCGAGTGCCGGGGTGAGAGTATCACACTTTGAGTACCAGGCAACATCTTTGCAGCTGCATTTTGAATCATCTGCTGGTGAGTTAATGAAGGCTAGGGAAAAGACTTATCTGGATATCTTCCAGCAGTATGCAGCTGGACGAGAAAAGAAAACATGCACTGCAAAAATGGTAAATGGAAGAAAGAGGTACATTTACCTTCAAAACAAATTCATGTTCTAAACAATGTTGTGTCTTCAGCAGTGTCAAAAATGCACACAGATGGGCTAACGCATATAGGAAACCAAGAGAAGGTTTACAATCGTCGCCCGATAATAAGGACAACACCACATGCACTACAATCACACCAGAAACAAAAGAACACTGATATTGTTTAAAGTTACAAAGATAGAGCACTTCTAACGGCTAAAGGAATCCAGTATGCCTCTCTGTAAAGAGGGGGAGATTTGCCCAGAATGTCAAGCAAGCGCATAATCCATGCTCACATATGCAAATATTTACAACTCCTGTTATAAATCAGACCACAGTGGACCATTCAGCTTGTGTGCCACATGTAGTAATGTGGTTTCCCATAGCAGATGCTGCTAATATCTCAAAGAGTTAGGTAAGGTAAATCTATTTCTAAATTAGAGTAAAAGAGCCTGATAGCTGAAAGATCTGGCTCCTACTCTACTTTTAGAGACTTTAGGGACAAGTAAGCCTGAATTCTGGGAGCGCAGTGCTCTAGTGGGGTGACATGGAACTATGAGCTCTTTAAGGTATGATGGTGCCATATTATTAAGGGCCTTGTAGGTGAGGAGGATAATTTTGAATTATTTTCTAAATTTAACCGGATATAAATAATACAGGAGACATGTGGTCTCTTTTCCTGGTTCTTGTCAGGGCATGGGCTGCTGGGTCTTTAATGACTAACTGCTGGAGCCTGATAATAAGGAATTACAATAATCAAGTCTGGATGTAACAAAGGCGTGGACTAGTTTTTCTGCATCTTTTTGAAAGAGGACATGTCTGATTTTTGAGATGTTTCATAAGTGAAAGAAGGCGGTCTTAGTTTTAAGTGCGAATCAAAGGACAAATCAGGATCAGCAAGGGCAGTGTCATCTAGAATGGATATATCATTAGATAATGCATCTCTAGGGTGTTTAGGTCATAGGGAGTATTAGAACCTTCAGTAGTTTAGTTAATCGATTACACTGTTCTGGTTTTATTGATATGTATATTTGGGTGTCATCTGCACAGCAGTGTGGATTTACAGTGTGTCCAGATAATGTTTCCTAGTGGAAGCATGTATAATCAGAACACAATTAGGCCCAGCACAGAACACTGTGGTTAACTTTGGTGCACACAAATTAGAATTGTTCTGAAAAATAGGATTTAAACTCGGTTAAGGTTGGTTATGGTTCCTTTAATGTCAATTAACTGTTTTAGTGTCTGTAATAAAATTTGATGATCAATAGTGCTGAATGCTTCACTAAGGTCTAACAGGACAAACCCTTGATCTGAAGCTATGAGAAGGTCATTAGTGACTTTTGCCAAGGCTGTCTCTGTGCTATGATGAGCTCCAAACCCTGACTGAAACTCCATAGAGATTACTTCCCTGGAGAAACTTACACAGCTGATTGGCTTCAACCTTCTCGAGGATTTTAGACAGGAAGGGGAGGTTGGATATTGATCGGGAGTTGGCTTAAACCTCCGGGTCTAGGTTGGGTTGTCTGAGAAGGGACTTGCACACAACACATCCCTGCCATGAAGAAAAACAAAATCAGTAATAAATTCTAATGTGCACTGACCTAACTCACCACTGGTGGAAGCATATATGATATTTTCCTGTATCTCCTTGTGTTTTGATTTACTGCATTGAGCTTAGGTTAGTGAGACTCAATCTTACTACAAGGCTCTGAAATACATGACTGATGAACTGAAAACTTAATCACCGTTAAATAATTTCATGTGTAGTCTGGATGAATGTGAGAGTCTATCAGCAGATCATCTTACAGTCTGCTGGGCCTGCTGCTTTACAAGCAGATCTTTGGAACAAGTGTTACAGTCGCAGTCCAAACTGCTAATCCCGAACACGCCAGGGTTTTGACATCCTGCCACTACCGTCAGTCAGGATTCCCATTACTAATCTGGGAGGATTAAAATTCATGCAGTTGATGAGATTTGCCTTTGAGTGTTATTCGAGGAAGTTTTTGACAAATTAAATTTTTGCAGCCTCCCCTCTGCCATTTTCTTTTCATCTTGTGCTCATTTGAATTTGAGCCTCATTGCCAATTGAAACTGGAGAATAATGACGTCACCTCTTAATGTACACTCGGTAATCTACTCGGACCCAGTCCCATGCACCCCATGTTTCCTGCAGGACTAAAACAGTATCAATAAATTGAGTTTATTTCTCTATTCTCATGGTTACATGCAATGCTTGGGGGCTGGGCACCATAAAGAGCAGTGGAATGGTCTACTTTAATCCACCAATGGATGGTAGTGCTGACTATGCTTGTTATCTTTTTTTTGCAGGGAGGTTTGGGAGCTGGACCCCCCTGAGGTGGTGAACTCAGTGCTGCAGTACGCTGCTTGGGGAGTGCAAGGCCAACAACTGGTGAGAACACAGTGAAGGATCATGAAGGGACCATCAGGCACATTATTCAGAACTACTATTACTTATGAAACAAAAGTCATTCATATACTATCATGAACACATCACAGACTGAAATATTAAATAATTTAAATGCTAAACTGAAAGACTATACACTCACATGTGCAACTGAAACACTCTGATAAAAAGATCGCTAAGCTTTCTCGCATACTAGTAAAATGTGCTCAGCTGAAATTCCCTAATAACCAGTGATCAGGCAGGAGGATTCAGTTAAAACCAAGTAGAAGTAGTGATGTTGCCCCTCGGTTTGTGATCTGCCATGTAGAAGCCTGAGTCTGGCATTTTCACTGTTGCAATCTTGTTTATTTAGAGCATAATAATATATTTGGATGAGACTGTGTAGCTGGGAAGAAGTTTGCCTCCATAATTTAAGGTAAACTTTAAAGCTAATTGTAAAAGTAAACTAATTGGCAAATTGCTTGGATACATTTAATACTCAAATGTGACCATATATGTGAAGTAACACTTTAATATAGTAACTGTGTGTTTGGGCGATGTCATGGTTGGTTACTATTTGGTTTTGGATGAAATCATCTTGCCTGCTCGTAATAATGTCAAGGAGCCTTGGAGCTGTAAGCTAAAGCACATTTCACGAGTGTGTGTGAGCTTTTTCGGTAGTGTCTGAAAGGTTTCAATATAAGAGAGCTTTGCAGTTTTGTTTGTTAAAGTTTTTTATCTAACAGAGTTTTTCAGTTGTGTATGTGAGCATACAGTTTTTCACCTGTTTGTGTGAGTTCTTCATTTGCCTATTTAAAAGCTTTTCACTTGTATGTGTTTGAGCTTTTCACTGTAGAATAGAAATACATTTGGTGACATGTATGTTGATTCTGAATAACAGCCTCGATGGCCCCTCGTGCAAACACTAAATAACCTCCCCCCCACCTTTTAGCACCACTTTCACTTTACCTGAATACAGTCTACTCTCTATTTTAAATCAAGTTTTTTTTTACAAGGATGCATGGCACAAAAACATTTTTTCATTGATATTTGACTTATTTTAAGTATTGAACCAACAATGACAACTCAATGAATCAGCAGCAAACACATATTGTTGTGCAACAGCTTTTATCTAATTTAGAATTTACAGTAAAATAAAACCTTGTATTCTGACGTCTCTGTGATTTTAGAGCTAACAACATTAAGAATGTATCCTCGGCCTCAGGCCTTTGAATGACATTGTATCATATGAACAGGGATACAAAGTGTTATGGCACTTTTCATATGCGTGGAGGTGTGTTCTTGTCTTTATGCTCTCACTGCATGAGTATTTGAACTGTGGAGACACATAAACATGTCCAAATTTACAGATTTGTATTTGGAATATTTGAAAATAATTGAACTCCAGAAGGAAGTCATTATGCTGATAAGGAGAGCGAGAGAGATGTGAAGGTTTTTTAGCCTTAGAGTAGCATATGCGGCATCATTAGCCAGAAATGCATCTTTACAAACATGATGTGTGTTTTGTGAAGGAGGCTGTAGTGAGCAAAGTAATTATTTTTGGCAACTGTTAATTCCCACTGGGAAGATGCCAGGATCGTAAACTTAGAATATGAATTGGACTCGTCTGTCCATCATCATAGAGTAATGTGTTGGACACAGACAGCGGCACTAAGTAACAGGGTAATGAGTTCTCACAGTTTAAGGAAATGTAATTATGTTGTAGCACTAATAATGCCTTGTTTGATCCACTTTAATCATTTCTTAATTTCAAAACAATATATTTCTTGTGGGGATACTCTTATCTGAATCCACCTTTCTGTCAGAGGGTAATCAGAGCATTATTACCACAGCATTTTAACCATTAGGGAATTATAGCATATGTTCTGCAACAGACTTGGGCATTCAGCAAGACACAGTCAGGAGAGTCCTGGGGCTGTGCAGGAGAGATAAAAAAAGAGGCGAAGACACTGCATGATGTGACTCTGACTCAGAGTTTTTATACTTTCTTAGAATCGTTCCTCAATCAAACGTGAGCATGCAGGCATTATATGCACAGCGTGACTGACACTTCCCCAGGATATTATCATCTTCATTATTCATATGAATAAACATCCTTAAAACCCCCTCAGAACTTGATTGAGAGCCACCACATGTTTTACTTTTCTTCAACATCGAACTAATCTGTCGGTTTGTCAAAGTATAAATAATATTCAGGTTGAAAAACTCTCAGATGTACAGACTAGGTTCCTGAATGTGCATACTCATTCAGAAATGTTACTGAGAAAAGACTTTTAACTTGCCAAACCTTTTTTTGTGAAAAGTGCCTTGGTTTAAATACTGGTTTTAATTTAACTAATATGAGGTAAAGCAATAAATCTCAAACATTTGCTGTTACGTACATGCTACATTGGTGCCCAACTTGTCTATTTCCAATGTCCATATCACCAAGAGATTCCTAATTATTTCATAATTTGATCAAAATCGAAACAATAAAACCTCACATGGCTGATTATCTTCACCCCGCAGTTTTCAAGATGAATCCTCACAGTTCAGTGGCGAGCATCCTTCTTGCAGATGTTGTATCCAAAGTGTTTCTTTGGTTGAATCCCAATTTTTCTGAAACTTTTAGCACATGCACAGAGTGTCTTCTAGAGTGATGACATCTTGATGCCTTGTGTCAGATTGCAGAATTCGCTGCTGACTATGAGACTGTGTTAGTGCATGGAGAGGCACTTTGATTAAAGATATTTATGTAAGAGCACATAAGGCCACAAACGTCTGATTGTCTTTCTTTCAGAGACAAACTTTGTTCTGTGTAACTTTGAGGGGTTTGTGTCAGATGAGTTCAGCATAGAGAAGGTGTTGATTTGTAGATGGTGTTTTTGCCACAATGCAATTTACCTTCTTCTGTATTGTTCCAAACATCAAGAACACTGGAAAGATTATTGTGAATACATATCGACTCATTACTATTTTATTTCAGGTGAAGTTACAAAATAAATGTAAGGAGCACGTTTTGTACCCCCTTTCCTATAATGAAGATCAATAGCATGCATAAGCTATTCATTCAAAGAAAGTATGCTCCCCATAACTCCAGAACTTCCCTGAGAATCAGCACTTTTTAAGTTTACAAAGTAATAATCGTCTGTACATACAACTTTGCAGTCAGGAACTGCTAATAGCTAATTTGGACATTTAATGGTGTAAGTTTTTCCAAATGTAAACAACTATATGGGCTATAAAAACAGAGCTAGAGTTTAGCCAACAGCTGAGTCCATTATACTTCTGGCTTATATCCCAGAAAAAAAAGGCATAACAGTAGGTTTGACTCTTTAGTGTGGTTATCCAACCTGAGGCTAGACAAAGAATGAGAAGGGAGATCCATAAGAGTGTACCTCCACTGATACACCCGACAGTCCTCTTGTGAAATCACATTTAAATCCGCTAGATCCAAGTTTTTGTTGCACCAAATTAAACACGTTCATAAATATCAGTCCCTAAAACATGATTATTTCATCAAGAGTCATGAATTATTCTCCACCTTGTGATATTAAAGAAACAATAAAACAATTCCTGGACCATGACCAAACCAAATCCTTCCACCAAATTTTGTTGTAATCTGTCCAGGAGTTTCTTCATAATCCTGCTAATTACCAGACAGACAAACATAACAAAAATATAACATGGTAGTGGTAAAAGTAATTGGAATGACAAATCTAATCAGGCTAGTTGTCCCATCAACACTGTCTCGCTTCATATGCAGTACAATTAACTAACTTCACTGTGATTCCAATCCATGAACACAACACAGGCAACACTAAATCAAAGCAGCTGTAAAAGGAGGGGGAGATGGCTGCGTTGTTTGGGAATTGTAGCAGTTTTGTTTAATTTAAAACCTGTGAAGATTTCCAATTAGCCTACTGCTAAATTTGGATAGATCAACAAATACAGTTGGCAGTACACTGGAGGGAACCACTTGGTACTTTGATGCTAACATATCACTTTAAATGGTGTGTGTATTTAATATGAAAATTGTTGGGTTAAAGTTGTGAAGCTGGAAATCTGGCACATCCTGCAAGCCTTCCTTTATCTTCCAGCATTTCTGTGTGCGTTCCTGCAATATGCAACATGTAAGATGGGATGTGCCGTGTCTCTACAGATCTACATATTTGAAAATAACATCTACTACCAATCTGATGTCAAGAGTAACTCCCTTCGACTAACATCCTCTGGGAAGGAAGGGGTCATCTTCAATGGAATTGCTGACTGGCTCTATGAAGGTACGCAGCATCCAAACAACAAGCCAACACTTCCAGTTCAGACCTTTTCCCTGTAGCTGTTTGAGGAAACAATAAAAAAGAACTCCAGTGATAAACGTGGGGCTAAATATCAGATAATGACCTGTTGAGAAACTGCTTTGCCACAGTGGATTTTTAAACACCGCTGAGACGCACATAACGTGAAAACATATTTCATTTTCAATGTGTTGTCTGACTGTCTCATTAAACTGCCAGTGTTTAGAAGCCTAAAGCTTAGCTTAAAATAGACAGTGATTAAATATTCATATTGTTTGTTCTAGTGCAGATATCTCCTGCTGGGTGTGAGAAGTTATGTGCTCCCACGCAGGCACTTTGGCCCCTCTCTCAGGAGGGAGGGGAATTATGTAAAGCATTTCTAAATCTAAAAAGGCAAGCAACTACAGTGACTGCACTGCTGTTTTGTCTTCTTTTTTTCTGCTTTATTCTTAATTAAATTTGTGAAGGATAATTATTTAGCAGGCAGTGATTGCTGACCCCAAAATATAACTTCATTTAATACCTCCTTTGTTATCGGAGCCTTTTTTCCCCATTTCAGTTTATTTGGTTCTTGTGTATTTGATTGGTTCCTCTGCTCTTTTGCGAGTGTGAGTTATATTACGGATTACATAAAATTGCATTTTCTATTACATGACAAATAGAATACACTTCACCACTTATAATTTACACCTGGTGGGATATAACAGTAGCATATTTCTGAAAGAAGCTCACTCTGTGTCTCCCTCCAACCAGAGGAAATCCTTCTGACCCATGTGGCACACTGGTGGTCACCTGATGGAGAGAGACTGGCCTTCCTGGTGCTCAATGACAGTCTGGTGCCCAACATGGCTTTACCTCGCTTCACCGGCATGGCGTACCCCAAAGGAAAGCAGTACCCATACCCCAAGGTAAATGAATGATTTGGAAATCTTACTGTACTACGGTTATTGTTCTATGTTACATTTATGTTCTTTTGTCTTTAAAGAGAAAGATGAGAGACTCAACATCTTTCTCATGTCTGTGCTGTCGGCACAGAGCAGGAGGCAGAAGGGTTAGCATGTGTGTGTGTGTAATTTTACTTAATACTCATGACATCAAAGTAGTGACTGAAGTGAGTGTATTGTATGTATCTGATTTGCCAACAGAATGTGTTCATAGAATAATCTAAGGGAATATTCAGATACTTTCTAATTCCATAAATGTCTCTGTCTGTCTGTCTGTCTGTCTGTCTGCGGAATGCATACCTTGCAAACTATTCATAAAGTGCTACACACTCGGCATATTTGTCCTTAATGGCTCGAGGATGTGCAGGACACATGCTACATTCAATATTAACAGTTAACTATGTTTAATGGCAACACTGTCCACCAGTGCTCAATCAGATAAGATGACTATGACTAATATGACTCACCCTGTGCAGCATGAGAGAGCACACAAACCACAGCACAGAGTGGGTTGTTGCAGCCAGAGCGAAAAAACACAATGACGACAAGAGAAACAAATTAACCTCCAGAATAAAATTCATCATCCTAAAGCTCTGATCTCCACAGTGTCACACTGTCTGAGGGATGGGACTGTTTATGAATTTGAAGTCACAGCATCATTCAAATTAGTCGATTGACAGAATGCAGATGCCTGTTTTTCTACGGCTGTAATTTGCTTCAGCGAAGTGTTCTTTCAATGCAACATGTAATAGTCCCTGCATGTCAACACGTCCACATTTGTCCAAACGTAGATGCACTTTGAAAAGTTTGAAGGGCTGCTCTTTTTTCTTTTTCAATATTAATCACCTTCAATCGTGTGACACCTTCTGTCTCGAGTCTGAACCATTGCTTCCGCACACAGGCTGGCCAACCCAACCCAGTGGTGAAGCTCTATGTCGTGAACCTTTACGGGCCCACGCACACGCTGGAGCTCATGCCTCCAGAGACCCTCAAACTACGGTGAGAGAAGCTGCCTTTTGTCTTTCACATTACTGCATCCGTTGCTGTGACACTCAAACAGAAACTCGGGGCATTTTAAACCTTGTTTGGTCATTTTTCTCCTCACTTGGCATTTGTCAACTTGCAGTGTCCCTGCATTGCAGTTACTCTCGCTAGAAGTTGTTCTGTAAGCTCACCTCAGCTAAGTGCTAACATAACAAAGGATACACTGACCAACAAATATCGTTGTGGTTCTGTTGAGGTAGAAGCTTTTTTTCCAAAATGAGTCATCTCTTTAAGGTAGCTACAAATTTAATATTTAAAGGTCACTTGTCCAACATATGCAATCTTCCATTTATCTGCACCTGATCTTGAAATGCTTTGCATCCTTGGCTTCTTTATAAACATCCATCTATGTTTTTCACAGGGAACATTATGTGTCCATGGTGAAGTGGATCAGCAAGACCAAGACATCTGTGAGGTGGTTGAACCGCGCCCAGAACATCTCCATCCTGACTGTGTGTGACACTACCACTGGAGCCTGTGTCACGGTAAGTCTGTGTCTGTGTGTGTTTGTGTGTGTCTATCTGTGGGTCCTTCAGTAATAAAGACCTTGGGTTTTTACAGAATAAGTATGGTAGTACTTATTATTGGATATTTATTGCTAAATTATATAAATGTATGAAATATGGCCGTTTTTCTTACCTGTGCGATTCAACACAATGCTGCACATTCACATCTCAAACTTTAGTGCAGTGCTCTTTGCAAGGTTAGTATTTGATTAAACCTCGTTACAGTTCTTTAGTTATATCTGACTTGATTTCCAAGTTAACGCCCAGGCCACACTGCTTGCGTGAGCGGCGTGTGATGGCTTCCCCACGGTTCTGCTGCAGTCAGAATTGTCTGTTGTTCACACATGCAGCGTTTCATCTGTGTGTCTGCAGCGGAACTGCACCTTTAGGTTTCTGCTATGACAACTTTATTTCCCTGAATAAAAGCACAGCTGTACAAGAAACTAAATGCCAGGACTCAATGGTATGAAACCGTGCACCGTCCAGTCCAGCGATAGCAATAAAAACCTTGTCAGGACAAACAATTGTTAATCAGTCAACAGAAAGGCAAGAGTGCTTTCACTTTGAAACGGGTGCAGGAAGTGTTGCAATCATTTATGTTGTGACATATTTAACAGACAAACAGTACAACTGTGGTTAAAGATCAAATAGGCGAGACCTGGACTTTCCAGAGGAGCAGTAACTCTGACCTTAACCCTCACGCAGGGAGTGTGGCCCAGGCGTCACTCAATTCAAATGCACCATCCTAGTTAAATTTTAAACTGTAAAATGTGGCTTGAAAATCAGTTTCTTCGTATATAATCACTTCAGTAATAGTAACTATTGATTTAAAGTGATGATTATTTTAAATTGACGAAGCCTCGTCTCTCACTGCTGCTGTTCCTGTGGAGCCTTCTATTATCACACTGCACGCAGTTTACTGTAACTGCAAATGCACAGTAATGTTTTAAGCCGCAGGTTCTTGATTTCACAGATACAAAAACAAACAGTCTTCTCATATCTTGCCAGCGACCATGGATTTTTCCAAAATGATGACAGATGCAGGCTGATTTGTTCAGATGCAGTACGCTAGTGAAAGCTAATAAACACTCTGCAACTGTCATTCTCTTTAATTTTTCAACATGATGTGTTTTTAAACAAGAGCCGTGTAAAAAGAGCTTATGTATGCACGTATTGGTATCGTAAATATGTATTATGCTAAAAGAGGCTAAAGGTACATGTCTAAAAAAACTGCATCTACTCCATTTGGTTATCCATGTGAAAAATATGGTAATGTGTTGCAATTATCTCGTACTGATGTTTAGTTATTCAGGACTGTTGTTAAAGCATTTTCTATAAAAGTTGAAATTTCCCTTACAAGGGAAAGGGTTTTGAGTTTGGCCTTGCAAAACGTTGCTGTTTTGTCAGTTAAGTTGAATTAATAATTATTTGGCTCTAAGAAAACCTCAGAACATCTGCTGGATTTGACTGCTTCCATATTCTCCCTGTATTTGAACGGCGCCGACATGTAGCAGCGTTAACCCTGCAGTTGAACTTTGGGACTTCACCGGCTGCTCTCCAGTGCTGCGGATCCTGATTTGGTGTGATCTGCATGAACCAACATGTTGTCCAGCCAAGAGGCGGCTTAGCTCAGGCCTGGACACAGCGTCCAGGCTCCCCTGCCAAAAGTCTGGCTCCCGCTCATGCATATTGGTTAGAAATGAGGGTTCGGTCCAGGGATGGTGTCCCCAGTGGCATGTTAAAGTTAACAACAAAATAAGGGCTCTATTATATGACAGATGATTCTGTTTGGAAAGCATTTCACTAAAGTGTGAAAATCAACCAGAAAAAGGGAAAATCCTTTCCACTCGTGTTGCTGCCATGAAAGAAAAATGATTTCCAGGGGGAAATATGTGATTATGATGTGATTATACTGTATCTGCACTCCCGCTCTGTTGTTCACAATTTTCAAACCTTTGTAGAAGTAAATAGCAGAAACAAAAGAGCAAAGGCTGTAAAACACAAGTGAATTTTGATGTTTTTTGTAAATTACCACCAGTGTGACATTTTACCCATTTCATTTTCAGAGACATGAAGAAAGCTCTGAGCTCTGGCTCTCCAAGCAGGTAAAGTTCATAGTCTACACTTAACATTTTTAAAAGCATGTGATCCAGTGCTGTCATTTCACTAGATTCTATCTCAAACTCTGTTCAAATTGTGAGACGTAAAGGCACCACTGTCTCATCTCGTCTTCAGCCTCAGTGCTCTGTATCTTGAAGGAGGGCTCTGCTCATCCCCAAAATCCAACACCTGGTGATGCAAACACAGGCTGAGCAGCAGCAAGAAGGACTGGTGTCAGCCTTTTGACTCATTCTGTTCAGCTGATCAGATTCAGAGCCTGAAGGCAGGGCCCCTGTCTCTCCTGCTGCTCGGCCTGTGACTTAAACAGAGATACAATAGAGCTTTCCCCTGCAGACACAGAGACGCAGAGTATGTTGGGCATATACGAATCAAAGAACCTGTCATTTGAAGCATTGCTTTCTATTCATTTTACTACTATTCATTTTGGTAAAGAACATTTCACATTTCCTGTGTCCGCTTGTAGGCTTTAATGAGTGTGAGGAACAATTGAAATGACACCAAACCAAACAATTCTTAGGATTGCAAAACTGTTATTTGTCGCTTTTTTATTTTTGGTTTTATTTTACCTGACTGCCCTGATCATCTTTGGTTCTTTTAGGTCAATTGACAGAATTAAATTTCCGGCCACTCTTATCTAAAGCATGTTCTATCTACTCAGACAGAGGAGGGGAGGTTCTTGGCAGGATGTGATCATATAGCCCTGCAGCTGAACATGTTTGGCTCTAGCTGTGGGTAATTTAACCACTTGAAAATCTTGGCACAGAAAGCTGCTTGTCTTTGTTAAGGTGGTAATCTGTGAAATGCTCATTCACTGACTGGGTTTGTGTCAGTATCTTTTCATGTATTTCTCTGGAAGCTTTCCACATAGGACCTCAGAGATCTACATCGATGTTCTCAGAAATGACAAAGGCTCCCTCTGGGTAGACTTGAGTTACTGTGAGATTCATCTCCAGTTACAAACTTTAAATGTGATATACTCAGTTAAGCACAGGCTCAATACACAGCAGGAATGTGCTCATTTGGCTGCGGTTAAAATATCTGATGAGATTATATGTCGGATTTTTCTCCAGAGTTCCTGTGCAATGGTTTTCTATTAGCCAAGTTCAGTAGTTTTTATATAATGTATTATATTTGAGCTATAATGACTGACACCTTCTGAACATTTAAGGTTGTCTCTGTAGAGATTGATTTCCTCTAGATATTTAATTGAATAAAGTATAAAGTAGCATGAAGTGAAAATGCACTAAACCACTACACCACTAATTTTAATCTCCTTGCAGTACTTGAGTACATGTATTTTCATCACAGTACTGGCATGTGCAAAAACTCCTTCTTGTGTCAGAGAGTTATTATTTATTTTGGTCTTTTTGACTCTGTAGTACTTGAAGACAGGTCGACCACTGTCATTAGGATTTGTCAGCTGATAAACTCTCTGACTCTTAAGTTTGTTTACACTCAACAAGGGCTCCTGCAAGCATTTGACTTAGGATCCAAACCAAAGGTAGCCAATGATGACAGAGCAGGGGTGGCGAGTGCGTCAAGCTTTTCCATTTCCTCCATCCGGAATGTCCTTAACAAATGAAAGTTAAGGAGAACTGACAAAGTCGAGAAAAGATCTAGACAACAAGACATTTTTAACATCTGCTGGACCGAGAGGACATATAACTCATGACTGCAGAGGCTCCAGCAAGTTTTAAGAAACAGGTGTAGGGTCACATTGCTACACTGTACAGTGATCAGAGGGAAACCTCACCACAAAAGTCAACAAGTGAGATATGCAAGGTTGTTTTGGAACCAAATGCTGTGGACAGATGGAGTTCAAAACAGCCACAAAGATGTTTTTGGAGAAGGATGGATTCCACTGAGTGTCAAGAATTCTGGATGCAAATGTCCTGCAGTCAGTTGGCAGACTGTCACTGAAAAGAGGCTGGTTTTCTAATGATCCACAGCACTCTGAACATCTTCCAGGAACTTCTTTAACAAACACAAACTGCAGTCCTCACAATCTCTAGAGACTGGCTTCCCAAATTATGCATAGACCACAATTCATCCTAGTTTGTTCTACCTTCCAAGTACATGAAGTAAAAACCAACAACTCATTAGTATTTTCATCCAAACCTTTGTATACAACAGTAACAAAAGCATTTCAGAACTACTTTAAGAGACATAACAGCAAATGAATACAGCACTTGGATTTGGGTTCTAAAAAGAAGCAGATTTTTTTTTTAAAATGGTCGTAATGTATAATACTTTTCAGTATTTCAACTCATGGTATATGGTGCCATTTTCTCTCTGCTGGGCAAGCTAACTACCCTTTTCTCTTCCTGTGAAAGGCTTCATGCATTCAGTGCCAACAGAAGCAAAGTGTACGTTTATCCATCAAAAGCTGTGAAGACGAGCTCTGAGTTTCATAACTATTGACTTTCTTCCCTTCTGGCAAGAGAAGTGAGAAGTTTCTTTAGAAGTTTTAAGGGGCCACGAACCTCATGTCCAAACACCAGTTCGGCAGGACTAAAACCGAGTGACTCCTGTACAGCTTCACGAGCAGCAAACACAACGAATGGCACAGCCTCATCCAAGTCCTTTTCAGACTCAACACAGTGTTTCCTGAGCATGGACTTCAAGGTCTGATGAAACCTTTCTAGTGCCCCCTGGCTTTCAGGATGATAGGGGCTTGAAGTTCCCTCCTTTATGCCTGAGGTTTTCAGTACCTGGGAAAACACTCAGGCTGTGATATTGGTACCCCGATCAGGGTTTTATACAACACTTTTATACAACAATTTGAGCAAAACAACTCTGTCAATCATATATGTAAAATGTGGTTTTAGTCCTATGTTTACATCCAGGTTTAAATAGGAATATGACTGATTTAACTGCTGTGGAGTTGATCCCTCTTTCTTTTTGCAGAACCAAGAGCCGGTGTTTTCCAAAGATGGCAACAGGTTCTTCCTGACTGTTCCGGTCAAACAAGGAGGACGTGGAGAGTTCCATCACATCGCCATGTTCACCACACAGGTGAGGGACACATTTATCAAGCTGATACCATGTGTAGCCCCAGTTTTAAACAAAACTCATTCTAGGATGAATGATGTTTATTGCTTTAATAGATTTGTTCATGCAATGTGTAGTTGAGTGGATGCTCTCAAACTGTTTTCAAAAGCTGAGGAAATCACTCCCAGTGACCTTCATTCGTCATGCTGCTGTTGAACTCTTATTTCAGGCATCACCATAATCAAGATACTGCTTGTACCTTATTTACACTTTTATACTTTCCTCCCACCAATATTGACCCAATGTCCAATAAACAGATCCAGTTCTCAGTAACACAGCTATTCAAACTTCCCATTTAAATACAAGGATAATTCACAGGTTGCACATTGGATTGTAATATTGTTAGTAGAAACCAACAGGGTTATTGGAGCAATGTTTGGTATCCGTGTGTCAGATGCACAAAGGTTTCGCAGATTCTATTCCAGATATGGGAAAACAATATTAATAATGATGCAGCTTTTCAAAGGGTAGGTTAACTGTGTTTAGTAAATAATCTGCTTCATGGTTACTCTGGTGCAAGCGAACGGTCATGTGATATGTTCAGGTGCTAGTGTGGATGGTGATGTTTTTGAAATGGAGCAGTCGAACTGCTTAAATGAAAATGTGGTAGTTGGGTAGTGTTTCAGAAGCTCCTCCCCCTCAATCCTGACTGAAAGTGCTGTGTCGCGGTGTCAGCATGAGTCCTGGCTGCAAAGTCTCTCACTGAAGATGCACCTTTTTGAAGGCACTCTATCCTCTCCGTGTCATCTGTTTCTGCATCTGCCAGACTTCTGTCTCCACCACCTTTGTTTTTTAACTGCTGTTGCTATTGTTGGTACGTAATACTAAGTCAAGTCTTTATGTAGGTGCAACATGCCAGTCCTCGGCCATCTTTCTTTTTGTATTAAGTCCCCAACTCGCCCATCTAAAAAAATGTAAATCGAGAAACTGCCTTTGATTTCAATAAATGGTTGTACTGTCTTCAGACAGTAATCTCCTACGTCAAATTCCGACAATGACCACAAAGCATTTTTTGCCTGGAGTGTTTTTCCAGTCTAGGTTTATATGCCCCCAACAATCAATAATGTATAATCTGGTACCATCGTAACTTCTCTATGCGTGTGAAGTATTCCTATGTGGGTGTTTTTGCATTGCATCAACCTCCTTTTGTTCGTTATTGAAACCTAAAGCCTCTGGTGAAGTGTTTTTTCAACAATCTCCTCGAAATTGCATTTATTCATATGCATTAATGATACACATATGAAACTGACTTCCCTGTCAGAACACATCTTTAAAGTGTCTGCATTGTAACACAGTGACATAACTGTCGCCCTTGCCTCTAACAACCATGTCAATCACATGACTTTGAGGAAAGGACAGATGCTGTTGTTTCTGTTTCTGTTGACTAAGACCTGAGCATAAATCTGCCCACATTTACATAAATGACCTCATCCTTCTCTTCTCTTGTTCCTCTCAGTTCAGAGCAGATCAAAATGAGGTCCGACATCTAACATCAGGAAACTGGGAGGTGACCAGGATCATCGCATATGATGAGAACACTGACAACCTGTACGTTTCACATTTTCTTGAAAGCCGAAAACAAAGTGAAGAAAACCAAGCTAAACACTGCATTTGTTGCTGTGTATGCAACACTCATGGTATATTTAAGGTTTGACAGTTTTTATGTTTCTTTGACAGTTATTTTCTCAGCACTGAGGGTTCTCCACGAAGGCGGCAACTTTTCAGGTTTGTGTGGCTCTTAGTTATTATGAAATCTGTACCTGGTGTTGTTATTGTGTTTGTCTTCTATTAAGACTCTTGTTAAAGTGGTGTTATATGTGTGCATCATTTAGACTGAAGACAATGGCAACTGGGAACACTCATTTTGGAGAATCTAGATTGTTGTTTGAATAATTCATTTCGAAAGTAGTTACAGATTTGTTTTGTTCAATAATCATTTTTGTCGACTGATGGTTTTTTGGGGAGAAATTTGACAATTCAGTTCTTCGCCATATAGAGGTGACACCTGTATCCGGTTGTGACCACACAGATAATACATGACTATAAAAAAGATAAATGATTGCCAGCATTCGCCTTGATTCTGTGCACCTCTAATTGTCCCGGTACCTTCTCTCCTCAGCGTTAAAACTGTGGGTCTGTTCCCACGACGGTGTTTAACGTGCGAGTTAAACAAAGCTCACTGCCTGTTCTTTGATGCTGACATCAGCCCCACAGACCAGCACATCATCCTCCAATGTAAAGGTAGGTAGCATATCCACTATCCTACTTGTAAGGTTCAGCTCTGTGTCGGCTGCTTGGATTCCAGTCAAGTGACAATGACCCCGGTCACAATAAGCAACTCTGATAGACATATTTGTTCATAATTGTATGCTTTCATTCATGCAGCCCCTCTGCTCACTCTCTTTCTCAGACACACACACACATTCTCATTGGACCCATCTATCATATTATTACTTGCTAATAACAAACACAAATGATCTACATGTTTATTTGCATATAAAGCGGGGAAGTGAGATACAATCACAAGCGGTCACAGGAGACACATTCAGGAAGCAGTTTAGTACCAGTTGCAAATAGAGATACTTAACGCTGTCCATTTGTGATCCGATCTCTTAGGACCAGGTCCAGTTCTTCTGCTTCTATAAAATTATATATGACTCGTATGAAGATGGGATTGCAAGAAGGATTTTACACAACTCTTCAAGGATTAGATTTTATTGTTACAAAGTAATCAGTTCTGCTGCACAAGTTGTCCCACATTACCTGAAGTACATTTGGACAAATATTGAAAATACTTTTCTGGTCTTGATGACCACTCAAATCTCTTTACAGAAGAGTTTTAATCATTCACCCATTCACACACACATTCATACAGTGCATCTATTAGCAGCACTTTGTTTTTCTATGAGGGGCAATTCAGGGTCTAGCATCTTGCCAAAGTACACTAGGATCCAACTGCCGACCTTCTGGTTGGAGGATGACGGCTCTACCCCTCAGCCATAGCCGCCCTTTAATATTTTATGGCAAGAGCACGGAGAGTTTCTCATCAAGGCTTTCCTTGAATTAACCTGTCTGACAAAAGCAAGCTGCTAACTCTAAATCTCTGCACATATCAAGATTCATTTTATTTGAATTTCCTTTGAGTAATCACTTCTTTCTAACTACTTCTGGGAAAATTGGATGAATGTAAATCCAATATTACTGCATTGTAGATTATAGGATTTGTTATTCTTTCTTCCTCTAATTTCTTGTGCAGTAAAAGAATTCCATGACTTTGTCAGCCATTTTCTTTCAAGTAGAGATCATCTGGCAGATGTCAGGGTTTACACCTCGTAATCTGTCACCCTCCATCTATTCAGTTTTACATGTATCCCTCATCAGTTCCAAACGAGAGGCATAAAATGAAAACAATTAGCCACTCTAATGTGCATAATTACTTTTAGGTAGCACTATTAGGTAGCTCATTTAATAGAGGCTGACTCTTCTCATTGTTTGTGATTTCAATTCATTTTGAGCAGATGAGATCGCTTCATGCTCTGAAGCATTTGGGCTTTGGTGAGGTGATTTATTGCACAATAATAGTGCTCCCTCTCCCAAAAGCAATAAAAATAATGGAGAGAGTGTATATTGTCTTCTGAGGGCCAAGTTCACAAAACCCCAGCAAGCTTTGCCTGACACCTGTCGTAGTCCAGAGCTACACAAACCATTAAATTCCACTCATAAAATGATTCTGATTGGTTTCCTGTTTGCAACCTGGTTCATGCACACAGTGAAACCAATTCATCAACAGAGTGCAAGAGACAAAATAGCAATGAAAACTTGATTTTTCATGCAAAGAAAGTCGAATGGGATGAATATAAATGTGTTAATGTGTTATAAAAAGAGTTAACCTGCCATCCTGTTAACCTGTGACTGAGTATTTTTCCAAAGGACATTGAAAATACTGATCTTAATGTGTCATTCTGAAGCTATAGAGTGGCAGTGTAGGTGATAAGGTCAGGAAAATGAATTGCGGAAAATTATGGAAAAAAAGTTAGCTGTTGGCTTTTAAATTTTTCCAATTCAAAAATGTGTCTTTCATTATCTTTACACAACACACATGATCCTTCGATCACGATTACAGAGAAACTGAAGCATGTTTACATCAATTGTAATCTTTAATTTTTTTATCCTTTTAGGCCCTGGAGCCCCGAGTGTGATCTTACACAGCCTCAATAACTCAAGTAAGAATGTTATTTAGTCTTGTGGGAAGGACGGGTTTGTGGTGATCATATTAATAACTGTCTGCAGGGGGATCTTTTCTATAACGAGAAACAAAGGTCCTGCTGCACCATCGCTGGTCAAGATGAATCAACCCAGTCAGCTTTGAAGAAAAATTAATTCTGCTTTTCTGCAGTGTCTGCAGAGCATGCTGGGAGAATGGAGACATATTTATTTATTAATACAATACATACTATAGCACATGTAACTGGCTACACCGACCATTTACAGCAAGCAACTGGAGTCATTTCAGCATTTCAGCTTCATGGTAAAGCCCTTTTCACACATAGAGGGAACTCAGAATGCCGTGCATGAAGCATATTAATGGATCAGAATCACATTTCAAAACACAGTCAATGAGGGGGAAACACAATCAATTGTGGAGTCGGTTCCACCAGTGAGCAGAGTAGTAGCTAAATGCGTCTGCAGCAGTCGACTGCCTCCTAAACATCTAAGGGACCAATTAGGTTTACACCCTTCAAGCATGTCAGACGTGTGATTTGGTCCGAGGCTTGAACACAGTGTAAAGATTTGAGTTCTCGCTAGATCTCCAGCAGCGTCTTCGGAACAAGCTGCTGTTGTCTGAGGTGTACTCTCTGTTATATTTAACGGTTGTGGTGCATTTTTTATTCTAAGGGCTACAGCTGTTGGTAGCTGAGGTTGCCATGGTTACAGGAGGTGTTTTAATCTATCCCAAAGTTAGCTATAAAGGCTGTTTACATGGTTATCCACCTTATTATAGTCCCATGATAGCTTGTGTGAATCACAGGCATGGCTTCCAGGTATTTTCCCTCACTGAACTGATGCCTGCAAGAGTGAGCAGTGTGCCTCGGGTGTTTTTGTTTTTCTTTGAGAATGATCGAGAAATAGACGATGCGGGAACACAGCTTGTCTTAAACACGATAAGGCAATCTTATGTTCTCTTTCTGCTACAAGGATCTGAACAAGCTATTTGCAGATTCTATCCAAAAGCAAAATCCACCCTCTATTAATTGACATGTTACAGTTCAATTACAGTTTCATTGACAGGAATAAGGGGAATGCCAGACTGCAGGTCAGTCTGCTCTGCATTGTTCAAATAAAACTGGAAAAAACTTAGAAAAGGTGCCTTAAGTGCAGTAATGTGCCTTAAGCCAACATCCAGGGTATAGAGGAAACACAACCTTTGTTCTTCCTAAACTAATTCCTCCTGGACTTTGCTGACAGCCTATAAACATAAGTTAGCCAACTGCAAGTAATGCTATCTACCTTCACAGCTATTATTAGTTTGAGTCCCAGCTGTTGTGCTGCAGCTTTCAGTGGGATTGTGGACAAATGTACTCCATTAATCTGTTACACTGCCCATATGGCTGTCTCTCACTTTATTGGTGAGTTTTAATTATTATTAGAAGAAAACTGGAAAAACCTTCAAATGTACTTTTTATTTAGTTTTGTTTTCTCTGCTTCAAAAAGTTGGCTTCTGTGTTTGATCAATGTCAGACGGACCAGACAAGCTTGCAAATCTAGATTTCCTCCTTCTGTTCTTTTTTCTTTTAATTTTCCTTTCCCACCAGAATAAATATGGACACACACACACACACACACACTGACAGAAAAGTTAACAGCTGCGCTGCAGAAAAGCAAGCAATTTGCCGAGGGTTATTTGGATAGACCCTTCATCCACAGCTGGGAACCCAAGGCCTCTGGCGGTTTCATAATGAGACGTCTATTGATTTTGGGTTTTCCATTAGAAATGCTGGATGAATTCCATTTCATTTAGCTGCTTCTCAGATGGCTTAAATGGAAAAAATTGCCAAATCAGAGAGTCATTGTTTATTACATGTGGGGAAAATAACAGCACTCCTGAGTAAGGATAGTTGTTACGAGAAAAACACCTTTCAGAAATGGAACCTATAGACTGTATTTTTTGGGAGTTTGAGTTTAACAGTAGAGGCAGTGAACAAGTTATTGTTGTTTGAATGAAGGTCAGCAGCAAATGATTTTATTTTCTGTAATAAATTAAGAATTGTTTACAGCTTTTAGAATTTTTTGTCACTTTTTTGTCAGTGAGTTGTTGAAATAATCCTTCATAGCTGAAAATGTGCAATTTTGTAAATAAAAGATATGGTTTTTCTGCTGCGTTTCTATTAACAGTTTTCTAATTTAGGGATTTCTCCTTTATTTGCAACAGCTAATCCCCACAGAGATGAAATCAAGGAATGTATTCAGTATTCAGCTCCCTGATCATTTACCACAAAATGAGACCATGTCGGAAACAACGCTCAGCTCTCAGATTGTATCCGTCTCACCTGCACCTTTCTGCTCATCTTATTATTTCACTGGCTCCATAGATAAATCCTCATTTGGTGTGGCACATTTGTGCGCAGAGACACTTTAGACATAGATTACTAGCAGCAATTTCTGGACTTTCATGTTTTTTTTTTTTGTCCTCGTTTTTACAGATTACTACATTCTTGAGAACAACTCTTTCCTGAAGGCAGCCTTGAAGTACAAAAGGATCCAGCTGACTGACTTCAGAACTGTTCCAATGGAACATTTTGGTGAGAAGAAAGTATTGTTGTCTCGTTGTTACAGTGAGTCACAGAAATATTGCTGGTACATGAACATGAGCTTCTCTTTAATGGTTTTATTATAGATTTACCTTTGAAGATGTCCTACCCACCAGACTTCTCCGATTCCCGTCACTATGGACTGCTGCTGCTGGTGTATGTACCACCTATGATGACACAGTAGATACTACAGGATATTTCAGAGATGCACACTATAAATTATATTTTTCTGTCCTCACTTAAATGACACAGAGACACACTGGGAACACATTGATAACGTACGCGTCTGTGAACTCGGATGTTTGTGAACAGAAACGATGTACGTGTTTATTTGCATTAAGAGCGTATACGTGAGATCTGTGTTTGTGTGTGTTTCTTTTTGTGTGTGTCTTTGTGTATGTGTTTATCTACAGTCTGATATATCTTATTCCTCTGTGCCATATAGAGTTCCACTGTTAAAAAAAAACCCTGTGAGTTTTGGTCTGTGCCAGAGACAAACCAAGGTATTATGAATTTGGTCTATTATATGTTTAGATTGTAACTAATGCTTTGTCTTCTGTCCTGCTCAGTGACAGCGCCCCCGGTGGTCAGGCAGTGAGTGACCGCTTCTCTCTCAGCTGGGACTCGGTGTTGGTCAGCTCTGAAAACATCATCGTGGCTCGTCTGGACGGCCGAGGCAGTGGCTTCCAGGGTCAGAGGATTCTCCATGAGGTTCACCACAGACTAGGGAGTGTTGATGTCCAGGACCAGATTGCAGCAGTAGAGTATGTTGACACATTTGTTTTATTCAACTTCATCACACTTGTAAATGTATGTCAAATGTTGACCAATTAAAAGACATCCTTCACTTAAACATAGTCTTGTAAAGAATAGAAATGACTGCTGCATTCCAGACATAAAAGCATTTAAGAGAGGGATCCACATGAATTGTTCAGAAAACTGTCCCACCTCTCGGTCCATGAAGCTGCTCTAGAACATTTGATTACATCATACAATCTAGTGGTCATTTTAAAGCACCTATTAATGTAGTATTGACTATAATCAAAGATTTTCCTTCAACAACATCCTGATAAATGCATATTGATGGAATTGGGCTGCATACTACAACCAGATGTAAGGGGCTGAATGAACTGTTCTCTTCAAATATACACAAGAAAACAGAAGAATAACAAATGAATGCATAATTGTATTATCGTGAACTTAATAGATGAAGGAAATATTTAATAGGAAGTAAAAAAAAAAGGCCGCTGGAGTAATCTGATAAGCAGGTGGGTTTGATATCTTATGAAAGTATTTTTTAAAAAGAACCTCATGTATGTTTTTGGTTTTTTGTCTTTTCAGATACATGATGAAATTTCCATATATTGATCGGACACGGATAGCAGTGTTTGGAAAGGTGAAGCAGCGTTCTTCTATTATTAGATGCAACATTAAATGACCCCCTCCAACTAAAGTCAATGTGACAAATCAGGTGAAGCTAATTGTCAGTATTTTAGCTAAAGTAGCTCAATTCGATTTTATTTGTATAGCACCATATCATAATCTGCATTATCTCAAGGCACTCACATAGAAGCAGAGCTGATGATCGGGACCAAGGTTTATGGAAAAGTTAGCTAGACATTATGAGCTGTCACTGTTACATTTTTAACAGTAACACATAAAACTTTAAACCTCAGATGTAATCAATCAATCTGCAGTGTCTGCCATATGCATATTACATTGCCTCTGTTGAACAGAAATTATTGTCTTCCACAAATTTAGAGTTTTTCCCTCCTGACAAGTTTTTTTTTTTTCAGTCTGTCATTATTAGAGTTTCACAGACATTCTTCAAAAAGTGTCTAAAAGTGGTTAGTTTGTTATTATCAGTGAAAGACTCCTGTGATTTAATCATCATTTGTTTTTACATTTAATGAAAATAGCAGTTAATGTGTGTGTTTGTTTTCTCAGGGTTATGGAGCCTACATAACTTTAATGATGCTCAAGTCGACTGACAGCATCTTCAAATGCTCATGTGCAATGTCACCAGTGACGGACTGGAAACTCTACGGTGAGTACAGAGTTCCCCCATAAACCCGGCACTATGTTGATCTGATGTCCCGAAGAGTCAATATGTCTACTTCATTATTTACGTCTGTCATGTCATGTAGAAGTAAAACATCAGGTATAAAAATTCATACAATGTTTGTGTGGAGGCAGAGAATAAAGATGTCTTTTTGATGTGTTTTCCTGTAACGAATCTGTTTAGCTCTGACAGAAAGTGTTGACTGTGAGGAGAATCAGGCTTTTAGTAATACAAAACCATGTCTACAGACCATAGCAGACAACATCCTTTACATCTCAAGATGACACAGAGGACTCTTTCACCTATACGTGTTATTTCCACCGCACTGAAAACATCTCATCTGGGCTTACGATGACAAGAAACCCACTTTTTAGGTACTTAGCTGCAGCTGAAGCTCTGTCGACCGTGGTCACACTGTTTAAAATGTATCACTTCTCATTTGCACAGCATCAGCGTTCTCTGAGAGATACCTTGGCATGCCATTACGGGATGACAGCAGATACCAGGTGCGTGTTTACTGCCTCCCCACGCTTGTGTGCTGTTGATCTTTGAAAGCGTAACATCACTGACACACCTACAGTTAAGCTCCCGCAGTTACTGAATGTTGCTGCTATCAAAGTCAGAGGCACCCATGTTTTGCCTTTTCTTGTGTTTTTGTATTCTCCTGCTCTGTAGGATTTCGTCACTCATCTCTCTCTGGTAACTGTGTGCACTGGTGTGTCAGATCACATGCAGGCTTTTTTTTATGAGCTGCTGCAAAAAGAGGGGCTGCCAGGCTCTCTCAGGCCTCCTGCACAGGCGAAGGTGTGCAGCTATCAGAGAGGTGTTTTGCACAGTGATAGGAAAGAGGCAGTGAGGAAAAACAAAACTGAGTTCTGCAATTGCATCGTTAACAACCAAACAAGAAAATCTGTCCCCAATTCGCTGGTTTCACTGAACCACTGCTTTGCCTTTTTCGTCTGCAAATTGCATTTTACACCCTTTCTTCACCATTTGTGGAAAATGTGAAAGCACAGAAAATAATGTCAATAGAAAGTATCAGTCAAAAATCTCAATTTGAATAATTGTGTGTGCGGGTCTTTGCCTTCATCAGGTTTTAATGTAAATGTATGTCTGTGCTGCTCATTTGATGACACTCTGTATCTCTGTATAGCTTTTCCAATGCCTGTTGTATCTATCATTCTCCTGCTATTTGTGATTTCCTCGCAGTTTTCCAGCGTGCTACAGAACATCCAAGCACTTAGGGAGCAGACACTGATGCTGGTGCATGGCACAGCAGATGGTAAGGGACACCAAATTGTGACAGAATTAAAATACTGTATCCATGGTGCATCACTGCTGAGAACAAAGACGCACACAATCCCTGAAGGTAATGGGGCAAATGATTTCCAATCAAAAGATAAAAGGAAAAGTGGGTTATATAAATTGAAGCTGGGGTTTTCAGAAGAAAAAGAAAACCTGTGCTGCTGAACCATGCATGTCCAATTAGTTGAGAGGTATCTCCATATTCGGATTGTCTTCTCTTTTTCCTGCTGAGGACTCAGGCTGAATTTTGCTGACATCTTGTGTTTCTTTATCTGCAGCCAACATCCACTTTCAGCACACTGCCGAGCTCGTCAAAAACCTTGTGAAAGTTGGAGCAAACTACTCAATGCAGGTGTGTTTCGCAGACACAGCAACCCGAGCTGCACTGCACGAGAAGTGACAATGATGCATATGCACATTTTATATGATGCCACTGAAACATATTGTGAAAATTATATTTTTTAGAATTGCCTAAAAGTATCAAAATGTATGAGCCCAAAGTCTTTATCAGAGCTGTGCAATCAATATTGGCAAACACTGCTGCTGTGATGTCGGGACATTATCAAATGATGATTTCAGTAAAGTCAAGAGAAAATGTTCCAAATGGCCATTATCTGCAGATGTCATTGAACTGTTGGAGCTGTGGCTATTGGCATATTATAAAAAGTATATTAAAAATACCTTTTCACTCGTTATATGAATAATCTCTTATGAGAGATATTTTATTTTTTATTTTTCTTGGATGACATTTTCATTTACAATCCATTTAGAAATATCTCTAGAGACAGACAGGACAATAAACTACTGCATGTGTACTGTGTAAAGCAGCAAGCATAACCACAGGCTGTGGATATTAGCTACTTGATGTGGAGTGATTGAGAGGTGAATGGCAAAAACACAATTAGTTAAAGCCTACATAGTCCAGCGGTTGTGGACCACCCTTCTTTGTAGAAGTCGGCATCTTGAACAGGGGTCATTGACAGTAGCCCAATTCTTCACCACTCTGTAGGTACACCCTGCTGGTGTGAACCGTGAGATAGCTCAGAACCACATGAGTTATTATTAGAGTGAAATCCTGTGCATTAACAAAAAATACTTATCAATCACCCCTTGTATTGCATTTATTTTATTTAGTTTTTTATGAAATATTATCACCAAATGAAGCTGCTCTATCAAATTTCTTACTGAACGTCAAACTGTCAGGTGGTATTTACGTCTCTTTTAGCTTCGCTTTGGTCTCTCCCATCCTTTTAGTTGCTGAGCAGACAGTGCACAGTGGGTTGTAAAAGTCATGTCAAAGCATTTCCATCATGATGGGTGCTTTATACAAATCTCTAATAATAATAAATCTTATAATTTACTCACCTTTTTATCCACCAGATCTACCCAGATGAGGGTCACTTCCTGTCTCAGCAGAGCCGCCATCACCTCTATGCCACACTGACCAGCTTCTACAGGGAGTGTCTGAAGGAGGAGGTACTACCACTGCCTGACGAGGAAGACGAGGAGGAGGAGTAGACTGGAGGTTACAAGGGTTCGACCTTTGGCACAGCTTGACAGAATTTTACTAAAGTCCGTTAAGGCTTTTCACATTTGGACCAAGTGTTTAGCTGGACATGGACACTGGGTTAGAGCTTCTGTTGCTCTCAAGTGTGTGTGTGTGTGTGTGCGTGTGTGCGTGCATGTGTGCGTGTGTGTATGTGTTCGATTGTGTGTAAATGTGCTGAAAAGATAACTGGAGGACACAACAGTGACACTTGTATTGCCGGGACTTGAGACAGGAACAGCCCTCTAGCATTAAATCATTTCACTTTTGGGATGCTCCATTTCTCGGCAAAGCACATGGAAGACTGCCTCCATCTTGTGCAGGCTCTCCGGGCTGTAGTCATCCACACTTAAGAAAGTGCATGGTTCTTTTCCCCCCCCTCTTCCCTCCTTTTACTCATTTTGCCATGTTAGTCTGCTTTGTGGTAACACTTGGGAAGAAAAGAACACAGATCTGCACTTCCGATCTCACCTCTCCTTTGGTTGTTGTGTTGTGTTGCACAAGGAAATGCTCCAATCATCCACAAAAATGTTGCATCACACAAGTTCACCACAATTGAGTCGATCCTGAATAAGTGCAATTTCCTGCTGAAACCCTCTGCCATGGTCCATCCTAAACAGAACCAGTCTTTATAGGTCTCATTTTATTGTACAGGGGTATGTGTAGACATGTACAATGCCTTATGAGGTTCATCATACTGTAATGTTCTTGCTGGCATTGGTAGTCATTAGCAGTGTCATATAAACCTATGTCAACTCAGGTCCTCGAGACACAGCATTGCAGTTTAGTATCTGAACTATGTCAGCTGTTTGGTCATGAATAAGTTAGGAATTCTATATGAAGATAATGGATATTTGATATTTGCCACACTGCAAAAGTCCTCCATCTTAATATGCCATTGGCCTATTGTTTAAATCGAGTGGTGGAATCTCGTTGACGCTGCGAGAGACCACTTTTCAATACATCTCCACCAGATTTAAGAGCTTTCCTTAAGTCAAAAGACCTTTTCTGGAGTTTTGGATACTTTTAGTTCAAGGAAAAAATAAATAAAAAGGGGACAATGGCTGTACTAAGATGGATACATTTACAGTGTCAGTAAGGTGTTTGCATGTCTACAGGGAATGTGTCAAGTGTTGCCACATTTTGTATAGTACAATACAGCAGAGTGTGTACATAAATATATTTTTGAGATGTCAGATCTCATAGGAAGTTTAGTCTATGGGGATGGATTGATTTGACCTTGATGTCTTGTATGTTTTTTTTCTGTTTTTCCTTTCAGCTGTTGATTTTTAGGATGGATTTTGTAAAGCTTCTTGTTCTTTTTGCTGTTTTAAAAGGGAAAGGGATAGGCTGAGGTTTTGGGATTATTGTGATTGTCCTATAGTGATGATTATGAATAAAAAGAAACAATGAAAAACAATGAGGCATGCTGATGTGTAAGGCACACGTTACAAAAAAATCAAATCAGCTACGTTTGTTTCGCAGGATCGATTGTTTGAGAAGATGAATAATTCAATCGTCTTAACGCTTCAATTTAATCTTTCATTTGTTGTTGTTTTGTTCATCACAGGAGTCGCATTAAGGAGACGAGGCAGTCTTTCATGGCCTCGGGACCCCTACATTAATGATGTAGACGGCATGGTCTGCTTGTTTAGAGTGATCACTGCCTTAACTTTGTGTGTCTGTGTGCATTAATCAGTGGCTGCACTCACTGGCCTGAATGTCCAAGCAGATGTTAAGTCTGCTGAAGGACAGAGACTCTTTAATCAGTGTTTTGAGGGAACACAATGTTTGAGACTAAACCCATCTCAGGAATCATTTGTGATTTTGTCCTTTTTTTTTCAAAATCCTCTCTGATATGCTCCTGTCTGAAACTTTGTTTGTCTGCACTCAGATAAATTGTTGCAGCACAAATTTCCTGCAGTTTTGAGTCCTTCTCATGCTCCTGTTGCTTCATGCTATTGCCAAACTTCTGCTCTCAGATTTCTGTCTCTTGAAAGACTGTTAAAATTCCCCACATAGTAGAATACAGGCTCTGAAGTCGACCGCTTTATAACTTATTATTTCCCTTTCGGGTGGTTTCTGTTGAACCAGGGTCATCAGAGTAGAGGCTTTGTGAGGACAGAACAATTCTTTCATAATGATAGACCGTGCTTTTGAATATAGATAATACAGAAAGTCTATAGTTCATAACACACAGCCATTCCTCAACTTGCATACTCATAAAGGAAAAGAAGTACACCCGACCCTGAACAAATTGAGAACATCTGGGCTGCTGTAGTGCACTGGCATAGACAGTCACTGTGTTCCTGCCTTGATCAAAAAAGGACAGTTGATAAAATCTGTTACATGTACATACAAATATTAGTACAGGCCCTGTGGCTTTATTATTACTGTTTGTGAGCAGGATTACACAAAAACTACACATTTTCACTTTTCTAGTGGAGGTGGAGTTTCTGGTGGCAGGATGAACCTGTTAACTCATGGTGTGGAAGTGGATTAAGGGGTGAATTCAGGATTGTTTTATCACTTTCTCTAATGATAAAAAAACTGAGGTTGACAGACCACTTTTTTATTCCTTTTATATTTCTAAGAACTAGACAACCGTGCAGGGTTGTTTGGCCTTGACTGAGGTAAGCGCTCTACTCAGCCCCATTCTCGTTCAGAAAACCGAACAATTCTTTGTAACCGGTGATTGAATATTTAAACTGGTTCCTGTGTTCTCTCATCACTGCAGTTAGTGGTCAATTTCTGTCAAGTCTCCCAGTCTGGTCTGGGTGAGTCAGAGACTGTCGAGGAGGGAGAAGAGCTCCATGTTCTGTTGAACTGCTTTAGATCCAATGTCCTATAGTTGTAAAGTCCAAGAAATAATAACCAAGTGTTTGCATCAGCATCACATTTCTGCAGTGTATCATGTTATATCATATTGTGTTGAATCACATTACATTGTAGTGTGAGTGAGTCAT